TAGTTAATTATCATAAATCTCCATTACTGCCAATTAATATTAATGAAGAGGAGGCTTCAAGGCTTGCTGGAGTTTTTGGTTGCCAACTAGGAAAGCTGTCTTTTACTTATCTAGGTCTCTTTGTGGGCACTACTAGGCCTAGGATTTTGGAGTTGCTGCCTTTGGTTGATTGTATGTAGAGGAGGTTGACTGCAAGCTCATCCTTCTTAGACCAAGGTGGCGATTGCAGCTGCTTAATTCTGCCGTGTCCTCCATGCCTTTATTCTTGCCTGTGGTTCTTACTGGTGGAAGGACATTCTCAACTTGGTTGATGGTTTCAGGAATGTCACATGGGTAAAAGTAAACAAAGGTGACACAATACTTTTCTGGAATGATTTCTTGCAGCACTCCAGGCCTGTTATTCCTTTACAACAAAGCTTCCAGAGGCTTTTCTCTTATGCTAAAGATCCTTACATCACTGTGAGGCTTTTCTCTTATGCTAAAGATCCTTACATCACTATGAAGGAGGTGTTGGAATGCGATGACATTTTATCATTGTTTCATCTACCCCTATCTGATGTTGCTTATCAGGAATTGCATGATATTCAGCAGATGCTATCCTCTCTGAATAGGCAACCAGATAAAAATGATGTTTGCCTTGGAGAAACTATGATGGTTTTACACCTAAAATGTACTATGATTTGGTTCATTCTCCAAATATTTCCAATTCCATCCTATTGTGATTTGCAAAAATTGTTGCACCATAAATATCAAAGTGTTTGCATGGATGATGATAATGGACACGTTAAATATGAAGGACATGTTGCAAAGAAGGCCTTGGAGTATATCTGGTGTAATGGATTGCATTCTATGCCCAACACATGCCAGAGAGGACACATATCTTTGTTTCTTCATGTGTAATTTCAGTATGAGGATCTAGAATTATCTACAAGCCTGTTGGCCTGGTGGAAATGATATGTGTGCTATTGCTAACAAGGCCAGGAAGGAGTTTGCAAAGCCTTTTCTGTCTAGGTTATTTTTATTGCATGTTGGAATATTTGGACTACCAGAAATGACAAAATATTAAGGAATGAAAGGCCTTCCGTTGCTAAATGGAGAGCCAGGTGGTCCAAAATTACCTTTGGAAGCCAACTAGCTGAAGGTATCAGATGAAGATAACTTAGAGGTGCCACACGTTAAAAAAACATGGTCTAGCCATAAAGGAGGCAGTTGGAAATACCGAATAGTTCTTGCATGGAGGTATTTGACCTAACAAAGCACCCTCTGAAAACATCTTGGTGGAAGGCTAAATCCCAATTGGAGGTTCCAAAAAAGCATCGCTCAAATGTGCCAAAGTTATATTGTGGTTGGAGCAAAACTTACTAGCTTGGAACTACTAGACAGGGAAAACCTCAAAGGGAAGCATGCCTAACAGAGAAGTCTGAATAACGACATAGCCTATCTGCTATGGATAAGACTAAGTAGTTTCAAAAAGAAACTTTGGAAAACAACTAGTTTAGTCAACAACTCACACAAATCACTATGTTAGGTGGTTTTGAACGATTAGCCCGAAGGTATCAGGAAAGCGTAAAGTGTTTGTCATGAGATAGTAAGTGTTTAAACCACGAGGGATTGCTTGAAGATTTGTAAGTGTTCATTCTAGTTATAATGTGTGTGACTCTCTTGGTTGTATGGTAGTCCTTAGATTCAATGTGGAATATTAGATCTACTAAAATCCTAGAAAATTACAAACTATTTGAGCTCTGGGCAAACTTCTTTATGAGGAGTTGCCAATTTTTGTTTCCACTTAGCATAGTGACCTAATATGAAATAATTAGTACCCTTGTTTGTCTCGCCATTAATCACCAAAACTCCTTAGCTAGATTATATGCACCGTTAGTGTATTTTCTCATCTACTAGAATTTATCTTTTAAGATAGAGTTTCTTCATCCTTTTCCTCTTGCATGTGTCCAACTATGGACAAGCATTGGTATGCCACCAATAAGGAGGCCTTCCTATAGAAAGATGTGGAGAAAAAGGATTCATTCAGTGTCACCAATGACCTCTGAAGTGTGGAAGCACTACTCCCATAGTGTGTCCCTTTACGACTCCTTTTGGGGTGTTCTCAAAGACTCCCTTGATAGGGTGCTTCATGGGCCATGACGGCAATGATGCTTCCCAACCGTGACAATACACTCATGAGTCCTTTCTCAAGTGCTTAAAGTGTCTTTGCATGGATTTGGTTTTCTTGTGGCTCACATTCATCCAGGATTTGCACAAATGATGATGAGGATCATTATCATGAGCTAACCATATCCATGCTACCCAATAGTTTGCTTGTATGGTGGGCGAGCACATCCAAGAACAAGCTCTTGCGTCAACCCTTTTACACCTTTGAAGTGCTCTTGTTAAGGCTTTAGGAGTGCAAAACTGATTTCCATTAAGGCGAGGCTCGAGACCTAGGGAAGCTTCCATGTTCATTGTGGTGATATAAATGTGTTTGTGTTTGATAAAATATTTGTAACGGGTCATACTGAAGTAGGAAATTTAAGGATATCAACATATTCTGCTGCATATTTAGTTGTATACTTGTACCACCCATTTAGACATAATGGCCATCATGTAGGCCTATTTCTCGAGCTATGTAGAGGCTTTCGTGGAGGTCTAAGCTAATTTTTGTGCCTGATCCACCTCGGAGTATAGAGACCCCTCCCACTACAAGGATAGATGCCTCCCTTTTGCTTGAATCGCCTATCACCATCTTTGAGCTCATCGCACTGAATCCATGATGAACCGAGTCGGTAGTTCGATAATCAAGGTTGGCTCTTTTTTCGTGACACAAACCTATTTGTCACAACTCTGTTAATTGTACCAAGTAATGCCCTATAGTATGGATTATGCTTCTGTTAGGCAAATTGACTTTTTCCGTGGTCTTGGCCTACATGAAATTATTGGTCTCTTCTGTCAAGAATGGAAATAAGGGCATCCTTACCGTCTTAGCTCTCCAGATCAACTATCTCTTAGGTGGATAAGAGGGAGGTCTTGTTGAGGTTCCTGTTTTTTCTAGTTGTTCTAGCGATTCTCGAAGAATGGTGCAAATGTTATGGAACAAAAGAAAAATATCGAGCAAGGGCTTGTGAAGATGATACACTCTTAAATCTAAAAGGAAGATAATAATATTGTTCAAAAGGAATTTATAGTGGTTCCTAGCTTAAAACTCGAAAAAATGTAGTTGAAGGGGCAAGTAACTATACTGGTTGGGTATTGTACTCTAGGTCAAACACCTTGTGACATCCTGGCTTAATACCAATGGTAGACTACTCATATCAACAAGGTGCACCTTCTTTTTGGATACTTATCTCCAAAGAACCTTCAGACTAAGCGTGCTTGGCACGGGGTAATTTGAGGATGGTTGACCGACCGCTAAGTTCTTCCCGGGTGACCACGAGTGAGGACAAAGTATCCAGGAAAGACTACTTGCGGGGCCATTGCAGATCCCACCTGGCATAACGACCAAGACCACTGATGGTTGTCAGGGTGTTACAAATGGTATCAGAGCCGGCCCTTGCGGTTACACGAGCGTGTGTGGCTCAGGGACACGGGCATGTGTGGCCTGTCATGGCACATGACATGCCACATGTGCTGGTACTGGCACATGACATGCCACATGTGCTGGTACTGAGCGCATAGACTTTGCCAAAGAGAACAGTCATTGCTAGGCCGATGAGGACGTCGATTCCTCTGAGTGGGGGTGTATGTGACATCCACGCTTAATACGAATGATAGACTACGCATATCAACAAGGTGCATCTTCTTTTCTGAAAGCTCATCTCCAAAGAACCTCTAGATTAAGCATGCCTGGCCTGGGGTAATTTGACGAAGGATGACCGACTGAGAAGTTCTTCCCGGGTGAGCATGAGTGAAGACAAAGTGCGTAGAAAAGCCTAGTTTGGTCTGTGGGTCCAGTCTAGATACCGATAGGCATAACAACCAGGAACCGGTGGTAGCAGCCGTAGCGTTATACACCTTCCCCAAAGGCCCAAACTCTTGAGATAAGACCTTGGAGAACCCCGAGGAGACAACGTCTTGGGGTAGGCAAAGAGCCCTCGGGCCCATGGAGGGGTGATTCAGTCGGAGGAGTGAACTCTCCACCTATGTCTACCTAACCCTACTACTACAACATTTCATACCACTTTACAACCCCCCTTTAGAGAATTGTCATGTCAAATATTGAATCGGCTAACACCTCAAATATAAACAACAGGAAATAGTTGTTTTTTAGTTTTCATAACTGAATTTTTTAATTGGTAAACAAAAAAATCTACTAGAACTACATGACATTTCATATGACTCAAAAAAATATAACAACGACTATTATATTTGTAATAATCTCGACAAATACCCTAAAACGGAATGTTCATTGGCAAATATTCGTTAATCCCTATATATAGTATATTTTGAGTCGTCTGAAAAAACACTAACATTACTTTGAGTCGTCTGAAAAAACACTAACATTACTTTGAGTCGTCTGAAAAGTCACTAACTAAACATTTAATTATTTCTCACAAATAAAGATGTAGGTCGTTCAGTATTCAGTTCTTTCTACTATGTCACTTCAATGAAACCTCAACAAACATGCCTAAATTCATCAACTCCATCATCTCAATGGTATCGCCGTCGCTTTACTCGTCCCTTGAATTGATGTCCTCATTATGACAGCACTGCACTTGAAGGGAAACAAACGGGCTAAGAAAAAGGCCTAAATATATCTCAGCTTCTAAACAAGTGTCCAAAAGTAGATGGTTTTATAAGGAGAAAAGTAATATAAAAGTGTGTGAACTTTGTTTGACAGGTAAAAGATATGATGAACCTATATGCAGGTATTCACCAAATTATTAAAGAGAAAGAAATTAATTATATTGTACTGTTTCTTCTCAATACTTAGAATTTTTGTTTGAACAGAGTCTTTCAGCTTTATTACAGTGAGTTTCCAAACGTTAATGCGCTACATTTGTTTTCAGCATAGAAGCTACATATGATCGCTATCAGAGATTTGCGGGACCCGGAATGAACGTGAATGGAGGCGATGCAAGGAACAAAAATGTAAATTAATCTATATAGCTTTTCTTATTGCATATCTTAGAGCTTGTTTAGGTGTAAATTGTATAACTGCCAAGCATTATAGTGTGGATTCAATCAGTCTATATTTCTGAAGTTTCCATAGAAATATCCTTAGCATGATGAAGCATTTGTAATCAAGGATTATGTCGCCTATGCACAGGACCAGCAAAATGAATACAAATATGGATTATTTTTGGTAGCTACTAGTTTATCCAAATAAGCCATCTATATTCTATAACCTAAGACTAGGTTGTACTTACATCATTTTGTATCCAGGGTAGTCAAATCATATGATTGTTTATATACTTACATATCTCTGACATGATATTTTGGTTCTGAACCAGGATGGTGATCCTTCAAACATACAGTCAAGGCTTGAAGACATCGCTTCCTGGTAGCCATTGAGACCTTTCATAATCTCTCCTGGTATGTTATTTACTGTGTTTTTTCCTAAGCTGGTTATGTGCAATTCTGCAGGTCTCTTCAAAATAATGCTGATGACTCCGATGCCACTAAGCTGGAGAAACTGGAGAAACTCTTGACAGATGCTTTGAGGAATACAAAATCCAAGAAGGTACACTTCAGTGGCTCTGTAGACACCTGCAATTAACTTTTGTGTCAATGCATCAAGTCTCTGGTTCCTGTTAGACCCTTGCTCCATCAGAAAAATGGCTCTGCTTTCAGCTATTTTCATCAAGGGCCCTCTTTCACTAATTCAGCAGCTTAGTGCTTCATCACTATCTTGATGCTCTAACTAGACATAATTAATTCCTCTCGGTTTCTTAAAGGAAATATTTTCTCCTACTGAGTATATATTTTTATTATCTACTGGTGTAGGGTATGTAGTTTCCATTTTGATAATCAATTCTACTATAGAAAAGTTCAATCAAGTACTTGCATCCTGAGATAATGGGCTGAATGTGTGTGTTATATTAGTTCCTACGTGTTGGTAAATGATAGGCAGAGCAAAAAGAGCTCACTGGATATTTTACTATGCATGTGACTGCCTATGATAGTTTCATCATAACTCAGAAGGAGTTAACTGCTACTACTAGATTTTCTAAATTCAGCATAAGGACCTGTTTGGAATGGATGTATGTGTGGGCATCGGTATTGTCAGTATCCCAAATTATGCAGGTCTGAATCAAAGCGCCAGGTTACAGTAAGTTCAGTCTGGAAACAGGGGAGAAGGCGTCAAATCTAGGAGAAGACGTATTCTTGGACCTCCAAAGAGTTATGTTAATCGGACAGTCAGGAACTTTTAGATCCAACGGCCAGAAGCCATCTGGGCAAATTACCTTTCCCTGTTTCAATTCATTTCAGTCTTGTATTAATCCCTTCCAGTAAACTGTAACTGAGACTACCTGTGATTCACCACACGAGTTCTTTATAAACTCTTATGTGACCTTCTTTACGTTTCCCTGTACTAGAACCCTAGCTTATCCGCCTCAATCTTTCGATCCCCATTCCCCTTTTCTGGTCAGGACAATTCCCAAATTCCCCTACCAACCTACCAAGATCCTGATAGGTATTTAGTTCAAACTGGTGCCCACACAAAAGCTATATCCATTCCAAACAGGGCATAAAGGTTTGTGTGCTACAGCCCTTGATTGTGTAGAACTGTACTTTTGTGTGTGTGTGTCTAGAACTGTACTTGTGGATATATTTCAAGCAACAGACACACGTATGCAGAGGGAAATCTGACCTCGTGCCGAAGATAATGAAATCCTTGTGAGGAATTTTGTTTTAGTAGGCCAGTGACAAGTGGGTTCCTATTCAATTATTCTGCGAATTGTCTAGCTTATTCCATAGCATCAGTAAGCCGGTCGTATTGCAGACTGCCTGAAATGACAGACAAAATGGAGACATCAGTATAGATCTCCTGTCAGTTACCTGCAAACAGGAAATTAGGTGTTGAAACAGAACCTGGTTGGAGAGTTAAATCTACACAATGACATTTTACAAGGCAATATAGTTGATAAATTTAAACAAGACAAAATGTAAGCATCTAAATAGACCGTCTGAATCCATGTACAAAGAGTATTTACAAGCTTTGCTTTGTTTCTGCAGATGTTGGCGCAACTAAATAGCGGCGCAAGCACGAGTGCAAGCGCCCAGAACTCCAATGGCCCTAGGGGACTGGAAGGAGGAAGGACTTGAGCCTGCATTCTGTACAAGGGATGCTCTGCTGCAGATGCAACTCTTCCCCAGTTGTTGGGTATCGAAGAGTTGTCAGGGCTGCAGCTTGTATGACTCAAGGCAGAAGGTTGCAAATTCAATAAAAGGTTGCCTTGTGCCTCGTCCGGACTCTGTGATATATTTATGCCAACCTATCATTCTGTTGTCAACAAGTCCTGTTATCTGGAACGGAATAATCTCTGTCTCAAAAGAAAGCAACTGAATGGGAAATCAGTTTATGCAGATGCACTTTATATAACGGAATGCAGATGTTTCCTGTTAACTTGGTGAGGATCATATTCATGTCTAACCGCAGAGACGGACGTCTGTATTTCTGTTAAGCAATTAATGAAAAGGGGCATTGCCTGGTTGGGAAAAAAAATCACATTCATGTGTGCATTAAGCAAAGTATCAGGCTTGTTTGTGATTCCATGGTGCCGATGCCTATGTGAGAATATATAAGTTTTGTTTACGAGACAAGTGAGAATATATGAGTAGTAGCCTTTGTGGATGCACAGAATATTTGCAGCCTCTCTTTGTTCTTCTATATCGTTGGTGTACATGTGGGCTTTGGGCTGGGCCTGTTGATGTACCATTTCTGGGGTGGCCAAGATTTGATCGGCGCAGCTTTGAGAAGTGGACGGGGACGGGAGCTGCGGCGAGCAGAGAAGGAATCGGTGGCGGAGGAGGAGGTAATTGCGGACGGAAAAAAAACTGGAATGGCAATTTATTTTGACGCCTCCTTAGCGAGAATTATATATTTGTCCCAACATGAGTCCAACTCTGGTTGCTGGGTGGCACCACTGCGAACCCAACCATTGAGCTACTCCATTGTTCTCGCCCTCTCGATGTTAGTGTTTATTAAATCGATGTAAATGCTGTACATAAAGCATGTTGATCATGGAATGGAATGGAAGAACAGGAGTGAAACACACCTGACACGCGGCGCACCTCAGATGAACGGCCAGGCCCCCACGTACGACGCGAACGCCCATCCGGCCTCCAGCTAGCTAGTGCCGGTCACCACCGGCACCGGCAACGGCGGCACGCCCAATGGAGCTACAAACGTCCTCCTCCCTCCTGGCCGTCGCTAATGTTTGCTAGTTGACCCCGCTGTACATTGCAATAGTGTAATATAAATCAGCCAAAGCAGCAAGAAAGAACTCGAGCACACGCATTGAGCCATGCGATGCAGCGAGAACTCGTAGATACTGTCGTCCAAAACAGGGGCAGGGGAGGAGAAAGTCCAAAAGCAGCAACAGCAAAACGGAATGGCGGGGGGAGAGAGGAAGCAGACCAGCGGCCAAAGAGTCGCTCTCCGTGCCGCGCGCGGCGCGTAGTAAGGCCATCTCGAGCCGAGCCCCCCAGAAACGCCCCCAGACCATTTTTTTGACACCGGCGCTTAAAAATCGTTCCAGCCACGCCCCCAAAACCCTACTTTTCGCCGGATTTGGTAAAAAATACAGCCGGCGCTCTCAGGGCGAACCCAGACCACCGGGGGGCTGTTGGGGGCGGAGAGAGAAGATTTTGCATGTCATTGGCCCACCGTTAGCCTCCCACTCAGCTCTGTATACTTTTTCTCCCGGGCCCCACCCACGTGCTCTCTCCCACGCCGCCCTCCCCAACCTCTCTCCCGCGGCCCGCCCCAACCTCTCTCCCTACC